GACTGCTTCTTGTGGTGTAAAAACTGTATAAATTCACTCTTAATTTGTCTTTATGTCTAATTATTGTGGTGTTTAATATGTTAGTGGGAAGAATATTCTTTATAGTTAGTATTCCCAGAATTAAATGCTGCCTGCAAATAGGGAAGTGAAGTCAATGTACCAACTTCCCTAGAATTATTTCTTTGGTCTTCTCACATCTATAAAAGCTAAATTATTGACCAGTCTTTGATGTACTAGCTAGGTATGATCTCTTCTGTCTAAAATAATCATAAAATCTTGACTTTATTCAAGGGCTGAAAGTCCAGAGAAAGTGCAGGAGAAGAAAAGCTGCAGTTAGGCCAAGTGGCTCCACCCGAGAGAGAAAGGTACCTCAGATGGAACCAAGTCCATGTTTTAAGTGGCTGCTGTTGAGTGTCAAGGTGCAAGGGGAATAAGAAGGATTTCTTGTATCATATTTGAAGTGAGATAATCCAGATGAAACACTTTGGTTGCTAATTTTTAGGGCAGGATTTGCTAAATGTAAGAGCATAATCACACTGAAACTCACCAAGGGTTGGGCACTATCATCCTAGGCTAGTGCAAAATTCCAGGCAAACTGACAGCCTGGAGTGTTATAGACTATAAAACACCTGATATTTTGTCTGGCAGTGTTTCTATTTAAGTTAGGTTAAGCATTTTTAGTGTGGTGGATATTTTCATGATCAGCTAATATCGAGGATAAACATTGATTCAAATAGATTTCTCTGAGTATTCAAGTACTGTCTCTCTGGAGCAGTTTTGATGTATCTAGTTATATTTACATTTACATGCTGAAATCTGCAAACTGGTGTTTACATGAGTCTGTGTATTGTCTCGTTAGAAGGAAACACACAACCAGCCTTGCAAGGAAGGACTTTATTGTGTTGCCTGTGGAGCTGAAATACTGCCCAAAGCAGAGGGTAAGACTGATGGACCTGCCAATTGATTCAGGTTGGGAATGATGAGATTTCTAATCCTCCTTTTTACCTTCGCAATTTTGGATACTGGAGGGATCTTTTAGAATAATTGGTTCATTCCTCCACTGGATTTGGTACCTAAAATGATAAATGAGTTATTGGAAATGCACTGGAGAGCTGCAGAGAAATTTTTGGGGGGAGAAAGAGGAAATTGTCACAATAAGTACTTACAATAAGTTTCTCTGAAATATTTCTGTTGCTTGATTCAGTGATCCTGAGACACTGACCTGGCTTGGATTACAATGGGCATCTGACAGGTATTCAAGAGTTAACTGGAGGCAACTTCTGGCATTATGGGAAGCTGAGAGAAATTATTTGTAGCATAGTGGCCCATTCATTGGGGTTTGTTCCTCCTCAGGATTAGGTGTTAATTTGCTACTAGTTGCTGTGAGAAGTTTGGTAATATGTTGGCACAGTAACTCGGTGATTCTACTCTATGTTTAATATGCTTGCAAACCATATGAGTTGTTCTTCTATAGGTAACCTACCCTGTCTTAATTTAGGCTGGTGGTTAATCCTTGGTCGACACATTGTCTGAAATATGGATTAGATGTTTTTGGGGATTCTCTGTTTTTGTGAGGGACTTTGAATTGGGAAGGTCTAAAGGCTGCTAGTGGTAATAACAACTCTGCTACTTTTTAAAGTGCACTCCATCCTCAGGTTACTGGGCCATGTGTGGTAATGACCTAATTACAAGGTATTCTCATCAGTTACATGCAGAAACAATTAGACTTAGATGCTTAATGCTCTTAAACAATGTATAAAACATTGTCCTCCAGGAGAAGTTAGTGGGGATTTAACTGGCCCCAGGTTTTACATATCTGAAGGTAAGAAGAATTTGCTTTTGTTCGCCTTGCAAGTGTGTCTGAGGACCTTGAAACAAAGCCAGAATGCTACGTTTTTAGGAGGTGTTAGAAATGACATGGAGGTTGTGCAGTAGACACAGAGCAGAGTCCTGTTTCTTGTGCAGTCTTGTTTAGGGCAGCCCTTATGTTATGGGACACTTAAATGTCCCTTCCCCTTCTCTGTGTCTCTTCCACTGCCCTAAAAACTCATTAAGTCCTGAAACAAGCATGGAACTGGTGTCAAAGAAGTGTTATTAGCAAAAAAACCATGTCCTAACCCTCTCAAAGTCATGCTCTTCAGCCAGCAGTGAGACAGTCCAGGCCTGGCCCGCAGGAGCTGTGCCAGGGGCTCATCACTCCATGGTGTGATGTAGCTGAACTGGATGTCAGGGCACAAAGCTGGACCAGGTGTTTTCTGGATCAGATGAAATCAAGGAAAGACAAATCTCTTCCACAAACCAAACCTGAGGGACAGTGGTGAAGGAGGCCCAGGTGATGGAGGCCACTTGTTGTCTCTGTTCTCCCAGAGGAACCATACTGTGTGTCCTTCAAGACTTGTGTAATCTCATCAGTAGATTTTGATTCATTTCCTTAATCTTAACTCACCAGCACTGTCATATATTTGCAATTTGGTATCAAATCTGTGAAAGGGAATCACTATGTGTTAAATGAAAGCATTCTGAGTTACCTGAATGCCTGCAGTGACCAAGGTGGCTGTTGTCAGTGAGAAGTTTTATGCTGTCTAAACTGAATCTCAGATGCCAATTGATTGAGGAAAGCTTAAAATTCTGCCCCAGTTTGAAGAAAATGAAAAATAAATGGCTTTATTCAACGTAGATTAAAACTCACTGGTCGATTTGGGAGTAATAACAAGGGGAAAATTATCTGTTGAAAAGTTAATTTTGAACACATTAAAGATTTTAAAGAAGTCCTTCTTCCAGGGTCCTTGTGCAGCAATAGAAGTCTTTTCACTGGCTGCAGTGGGTATTGGATCAGGGCCTAAATTACCATCTTGTAAATGTGGAAAGTCTGCAGGATGGTTGAACAGTACTGTATTCAACCCCTGTGTGTATGCAAGTCTTACACCCCACTTTTGAAATTACAGGGGTTTGGATAAAAGCTTGCTGTGGTAATAGTGAACTGCAAATAGTCTGGAAACTCTTCAGAAATGCC